TTTCAAACTCCCCAACACAATGCCTAACGGTAGATTAAACTGCAAGTTAATGGAGGAAGGAATTTAGCAAACAGAATATTACGCTCAAACTAACCGCTGAAAACAGTTCCTGTACATGATAAACATGTCTACTAAACGCCATTTCTAATCTTAGACGAAACTAACTTCACAACTCGAAATCCACTGTAGTAATGTAGGAATACAGATATCTCGATTGCAATGGAGCCATACGCGGAATGGGAAGGGAATCGAAGTACGATATACGGTTATTGAGAATAAAAAGCGGACTGACCTGGCTGGGACTAACCTTGACAAATAAAGATGAGATTGAAATACCGAAAACGCAAAGATGCTGATTGTTAGCGTCGCTGAAAAGGAAAAGATGAATATTCAACTGCAGTTTCAAAAGAGCATAGCGCCGTATGAATCAAGACTCTAAGCAGTCCAGACAAATTTGCTCAAACAAAATGGGATAAATATAACTTTTAATTTGGGAGCAAAAAGTGAATATTTTTGGCCTACAAAGAAAATTCCAATTTGGGAAAAAGCGTTGCGGGAAATGAGTGAAAAAAATATTCCTTCACGAAAAATTACTAGTCATAATTAAGAGACAAAGTAATACCGTTCAACCGAATGTGTTGCAGGTTTCACTTCAGTTCAATACAACTTATTCACTTTCTGACCTTAGATAAGTCGAAAGCAAAGATTCGAGGTGACATAAAAGCTACCAATATCATAAAAGCTAATCCAAAGCGCAAAAAGCATTGTGCAATGCATAATTATTTTTTTACATCTGAGGACAAATAGCATTAAAACTGATTGCCTTGTGTTTTTAGAATCTAAGACCGAGTGCACCTTTCAGAAACATTTACCCCTTTACTATTCAATTTGTCCAAAGTTTGTACATTACATAAACATATGAATCTAGCTAAATAGACCAATGCATACGCTAATAGTGACAACGAAAACAGACCTAAATGAAGTACACTCAAATAGCATAAGGAATAAAAAACAAGTGCACACTTACTCTGTGGTCACGAGACCGACTTCTATCTCGACGCTCACTTTTGCGATCGTGTCGATCCCTTCCATCACGATCTCGGCTTCGAGAACGGCGCGAACTACAATGATTCAAGATAGATGGGTGAAAACGCTCACGACTCACTCAAACAGAAACTAAACGACTTTCTTCAGACGCCACTTCGAATTTTTCTCAGCTATTCTTTTGAGTAAATTTGATACATATACTCCTTGCAAATAGCTGGGAAAGAAACGTTGGAGAGCTTTAAATGATTTTTTTTCTTGCAAAACTTCGACAATCAGAAAAAATTAAACTCAGACCATATACACTACCTCCTTTTGTCTCGGCTTCGGTCTCTTCTTCCTTGTCGTTCCTTGCGATCCCTATCTCTTTCTCGCTCCTTGTCACGGTCGTCTCGACGATC